GTTTTGTGTACTCGCATTTTAATGAAGAAAACTTTCGTTTTTTAAGCAAATTGCCCTCTTGCCTCAGCAACTTCGCTGCCTCGGCGATGATATTATCTTTATGATTAAGAAAACTTTCGTTTTTTAAGTAAATTGTGCTTTTGCCTCAGCAGCTTCGCTGCCTCGGCAATGATATTACTTTTATAATGAAGAAAACTTCGTTTTTTAAGCAAATTTGACAGTTAAGTAGTTGATCCTACAAGTATGGCGATATTAAGCCAGATTCATACTTAATGAATGATATGAAAATTTCCTGTTTTGTGTACTCGCATTCTTGCCTCAACAGCTTAGCCGCCTCAGTAATGATATTACTTTTATAATGAAGAAAACTTTCGTTTTTTAAGCAAATTGCCCTCTTGCCTCAGCAGCTTCGCTGCCTCGGCGATGATATTATCTTTATGATTAAGAAAACTTTCGTTTTTTAAGTAAATTGTGCTCTTGCCTCAGCAGCTTCGCTGCCTCGGAAATGATATTACTTTTATAATGAAGAAAACTTTTGATTTTAAAGCAAATTGCCCTCTTGCCTCAGCAGCTTCGCTGCCTCGGCGATGATATTACTTTTATAATGAAGAAAACATTCGTTTTTGAAGTAAATTGCGCTCTTGCCTCAGCAGCTTAGCTGATATGACATATTTATGATAAAGAACGTTTCCTAAATTATTTCTTAAGATGAGGAAATAATAATTTGAATTTTTAGTATGATAAATTTTGAAAATAAATGAATGAATCAAACGAAATTATTGAATTAGAAAGTTTTTCGCGATCGAGAAGAGTCGACAAAGATAGATATAGATATAAAAGTGGGTAGGCTCGGTCGTTGTTAATTTGCAAAATTGATACGGAAGTTTGCTCTTGATAATTGTGCAGTCAGCAGTAATGCCGCCGCTACCAGGAGGGTCCCGCGGGACGCGAGTCCGAATCCATCGCCCAGATTGTAATGCAAATTGTGTTTGCTCGCGAATCAGACCGATTGCAATCGGGAAATCTACCCCCCCAACTCTCCCGTATCCCTCTCACGACTTCGAAACGGTTTCGTTTCAACGAATTTCGATTCGAAAAAAAAACAAATAAAGAAAAACCATTTTTTTAATTTCAGCGTCGACCAGAACAATTTCACCCCTACCAACCTAATCGTCGAAAACAAAAAGAAAAAGGATCGGAGAAAAGATATCGACGATCACCATCTCGACGAGTCAAGTTGTAGCGAGGACGAAACCAATAATTTACACGGTGAGTCAAATTCATTTATTAAACGCCGAATTGAATTGTTTAAGGGGTTGTTAAAATCGATATAGTAATTTTTAGTTTCAACATAATAACGCCGACGCGGCTATTTCTCGTAATGCGATTTCAAATTAAATATTGAGCAAATCGCTATTTGATTAATCTGGCGCTCCAGCTTTTCGCCCAACTCTAAATAGATATATATATATTATGAATTTACCGCGAAACTCGTTGTATTCTTTTTTTGTTATTATTAGTGTTTTATTTACATAATCAATCCGATTGGAATTAAAACTGCTTCAATATCAATTTGTGTAATTGAATTACGCAGAAATTTTCCATCAAAAGCGGGAATTTATTTCATTTCGAGAATTTATATTAATTTCAATATTTAAAACCTTTCAATACACGCAGTCTTCATCATCATATATCATTCAAGTTCACTCATTGAATGGCGCTGAGTGCGCCATCTCTTATCAAGGAGGTTCAAAACTAAAAACGAATTTTTTTTTGTGATCATTGTAACTCAATTAAGTATAAAAAGCATTAAAAATCGTTTAAAACGAGCCCAAACTCGACCTATTTCGATAATAAATGTTGCAAATGTCAAAATATTGACGTTTGGATTTTGACAGTTGTCATTTAATTTATTTGAAACTAAATTAAGCGTAACAAGCATTTAAAATCGTTTAAAACGAGCCCAAACTCGACATATTTCGATAATATATGTTGCAAATGTCAAAATATTGACGTTTAGATTTTGACAGTTGTCATTTAATTTGTTTTGATATTATGAAAACTAACTTAAGTATAACAAGCATTAAAAATCATTTGAAATGAGCCCAATCTCGACCTATTTCGATAATAAATGTTGCAAACGTCAAAATATTGACGTTTGGATTTTGACAGTTGTCATTTACTTTATTTTGAGATTTTTGAAACTAAAAGAAGCGTAACAAGCATTTAAAATCGTTTAAAACGAGCCCAAACTCGACCTATTTCGATAATAAATGTTGCAAATGTCAAAATATTGACATTTAGATTTTGACAGTTGTCATTTAATTTATTTTGAGATTTTTGAAACTGAATTAACCGTAACAAGCATTTAAAATCGTTTGAAAGGAGCCCAACCTCGACCTATTTCGATAATAACTGTTGCAAACGTCAAAATATTGACGTTTGAATTTTGACAATTGTCATTTACTTTTTTTTTTTGAGATTATTGATAATTAAGTACAACAAGCATTAAAAATCGTTTAAAACGAGCCCAAACTCGATCTATTTCGATAATATATGTTAGAAACGTCAAAATATTGACGTTTGGATTTTGACAGTTATTACTTACTTTTTTTTTTGAGATTATTGATTCTAAATTAAGTACAACAAGCATTAAAAATCGTTTAAAACGAGCCCAAACTCGATCTATTTCGATAATATATGTTAGAAACGTCAAAATATTGACGTTTCGATTTTGACAGTTATTACTTACTTTTTTTTTGAGATTATTGATTCTAAATTAAGTACAACAAGCATTAAAAATCGTTTAAAACGAGCCCAAACTCGATCTATTTCGATAATATATGTTAGAAACGTCAAAATATTGACGTTTCGATTTTGACAGTTATTACTTACTTTTTTTTTGAGATTATTGATTCTAAATTAAGTACAACAAGCATTAAAAATCGTTTAAAACGAGCCCAAACTCGATCTATTTCGATAATATATGTTAGAAACGTCAAAATATTGACGTTTCGATTTTGACAGTTATTACTTACTTTTTTTTTGAGATTATTGATTCTAAATTAAGTACAACAAGCATTAAAAATCGTTTAAAACGAGCCCAAACTCGATCTATTTCGATAATATATGTTAGAAACGTCAAAATATTGACGTTTCGATTTTGACAGTTATTACTTACTTTTTTTTTGAGATTATTGATTCTAAATTAAGTACAACAAGCATTAAAAATCGTTTAAAACGATCCCAAACTCGATCTATTTCGATAATATATGTTAGAAACGTCAAAATATTGACGTTTGGATTTTGACAGTTGTCATTTAATTTGTTTATGGGATTGTTGAAACTAAATTAATTATAACAAGCATTAAAAATCGTTTAAAACGAGCCCAAACTCGACCTATTTTCATAATATGTGTTGCAAATGTCAAAATATTGACGTTTGGAATCTGACAGTTGTCACTTACTTTTTTTTGAGATTATTGATACTAAATTAAGTACAACAAGCTTTAAAAATCGTTTAAAACGAGCCCAAACTCGACCTATTTCGATAATATATGTTACAAACGTCAAACTTGACGTTTAAATTTTGACAGTTGTCATTTCATATTTGAATTTAATCGTAAAAACATCACGTCCGGTGTAAAATTAAAGCGGACTTTCAAAATAAAATCAATTTTGTGATTACTTCGAAATTTCAAAGATATTTTGACAGCTGTCAAAACAATTATAAATGTAACTTGGTCGATTTTACCCGAAAATATATCATGTTGGGTATCATATTAAATCATTTTTTGATTTTTTAAATTTTGTTAACTGTCAAATTTCGAAATTATGTGACAGCTGTCAAAATAATTTTAAATACATTTTCGTCGATTTTACCCGAACATATGTGGTGTCAGATATCAATTTAAATTATTATCTGAGAATTATTTTAGCTGTCAAATTTTTACTTCAATTTGACAGCTGTCAATATATTTTTTAAATAAATACGTAATTATATTGGGTATCAAATTAAAGCATTTTTTTTCAAAATTAAGTTATTTAATGTTTATTAAATGATAACTGTCAAATTTCAAATTTGACAGCTGTCAAAATGATTGTGATTATATCTTCATCATTTTTCCTCGAAAATATATCGTGTTTGGAATCAAATTAAATCATTTTTTTTTAAATTTAAATAATTTGATATTTATTTTTCTTAACTATCAAATTTTAAATTAATTTGACACCTGTCAATATATTTTTAATTACTCTTAATCGTTCTTACTCGAAAATGTATCGTGTTGGGTATCAAATTAAATCATTTTTTTAAAATTTAAATAATTTAATATTTATTTTTCTTAACTGTCAAATTTTAAATTAATTTGACACCTGTCAATATACTTTTAATTACATCTTCATCATTTTTATTCGAAAATATATCGTGTTAGGTATCAAATTAAATCATTTAATGAGAATTAAATAAATATAAATTAAAATTTTTTTTTAACTGTCAAATTGAAGGTTATTTGACAGCTGGTAATCACAAATTTCAACGAAAATATACCGTGTTTGGTATCAAATTAAATCATTTCTTGTAGAAACAATATAAATTTCTTAATATTTTATTAATTGTCAAATTTTAAATTAATTTGACAGCTGTCAAAATAATTTTAATTACATCTTCATCATTTTTATTCGAAAATATATCGTGTTGGGTATCAAATTAAATCATTTATTGAAAATTAATAAATTTTTTCTTAACCTGTCAAATTTGAAGTTCATTTGACAGCTGTCAATGATAAATTTTAACAAAAATATACCGTGTGGGGTATCAAATTAAAGCATTTTTCGCGAATATCATTTATTTACATTAATTTAAAACACTAAAACTACTTTTTTTTCCAATAACACACCAATTAATTAATTTTAATACTGATTATTAATTCTAAACAAATTTTTTTTCCAATTTTTATTCATTTCACATCATCAGTTTCGACGACATCGATAACAACACTCGTCTTGCCGCTATCATTCGAATTTTGCGACCGATTCTCCGCGACGATCTCGTTATTTTTATTATTATTATCGGCCATTTCCTCCGCGTGGCACAACTTCCTATGTTTATGCACGAAATAGTAACTCGGAAATTTCGATCCGCACGTTTTGCACGGATAATATTGCACGTTCATATCCAAAGGTTTCACCTCGCGTTTTTGTGGGACACTTCCACCACCTCCACTCGCCTCATTCCCCATCATTTTCGAATCCAAACTGACGGGGTTTAAATGTCGCCGCGCGTGTTTTTGATAACAATATTGCGATTTAAACGTGTGGTTGCAATACAAACACGTAAAAATTTCGGAATTTTTTTCCTCCGAATCGTTTCGCTTATTAATATTTTCATTCATCAACTTATTCATTGCTTCGTTTCTGTTGACCTTTTCGATTTGGTATTCATTTTCGACGTCGGTGTTTCCGTAATTTTTGTTTAAAACGCGATGAAATCGAACTGGCCCGTCGCAACACGCCACGTCTATGATTACTTTGTCGTTGTTTTTTAGTTTGTGACGAATTGAGGATTTTTCTGATTTCCTATCTATTTTTTCCTTTACAATTTCGACGTCCATTTTTGAAGTGGACGGTTGATTTTGGATTAATTCGTGATTTGAGACTGCTTTAAACGGGGTTTCTTCTGATTTTGTGAGATTAAAAGCGATTGGGGGGAAAATGGGTTGGTGCGGGATTGGGGGTTTTCTGCTTGGGATTGGTTTGATGAGTTTGGTTCGGTTTTCGATGGTTGTGGGTTGGTTTTGCATCAAAAAGCTGCGGCACAACTCTAAAGCTCGCGGCATGTGGAGGATGTGGGTCGCGAGGAGGATGTTGTAAATGTTGTTGATGTTTAGGTCTAAATATCCGGTGTACATGAATGTTAGAAGCGAGGAGAATTCGTCGACGTTTACGTTGGGGACGACGATGGGGGTCGGGTCTAAAAAGAACTTTATTTAATTAATTAATTAATTAAATAATTAAGCAATTCTTTTTACCTGCTCGGTTAATTAGGGACGCTTTAAAAAACCCACTGTGTGCACTTAAAACAGTTCTATGCGCGGAGAATTCAGTCAAACTCGGCCCAACTTGCAAGATAACATCCGGGGATCCGCTAAATTGGGGGTTTCCACTTCCGGTGCAACTTCCGCTCCCCCCGGCGCCGCTTAAATTTAACGGGGAATTCTGCACCGGGATCGGAGGCGCTAAATTCGGGGTTAACGACAACCACGCGCGATACAACGAATACATTTTTTTTTTAATATTCAAAGTATTTTAGGAGCACTTTAAATTCTTTGAAAAGCTCTCGATGACACGTCGCGTCCGACTGTTCATAACACACTTTATAATCGTCGTTTATAACTCCATAAATTCAAATCGGCGGTGGTGGAGTGGTGGGGGAAAGGATCCCGCCGACGATTCGCGATCCCCAAAACATCATCATCACCACCCCAAGGGAACCACAACAACACAAATACGAAAAACTTAGCACCAAAAAAAATCGCGATTGATTATTCGAATAATTAGCGCGAGTAGAACACGCGACGAAGAGAGAGATACATAATCTACACCTATCTATATCTATAATTGAGCCGGCGATGAATTTTTAAAAACCCGCTCCTTTTTTACGGTGTTATTACAAAGATAATCTACTAATGGCGGCGGTGAGAACAGATAAGCGCGTTTAAATTGAGTCCCGCCGCGGAAATTTCTTCATTGGCGTAATGTCCGGACATGAATTTTTAATAAGCGGATTTTATCGAAGCGTCGGTATCAAAAATTCATTTCGAAAAGGAGCTCCCGCGCAAAAAACGCTACAAAATGAGCCCAAACACGACATTTTTATCGCTAAAATCGCCCGAATCGATAAAATGATATCGAATTAATGATATATCCATTAAAGCGATTTTAATCCGAGATTGATTAAAACAAAATGATGTATTAATTAAATTAATATTATTTGAAACCGTTCACCTTTAAAATTTACGAAAATGATATTAATATTAAATAAATGATATATTATTAAAGATGATATGATTTTAATTTAGTGCCGATTTTATAATAAAATGATATTAAGCGAATGATATATATATATTTGCATCTCGTTTATCTTTAAAATCGTTCAAAATCTACAAAATGATATTAAAATGATATATTGAGAAATTTTTACCCCGCAACTTATTATCATTGAGGGTATAAATCAATGCGATTTTAAATCCTGATTAATTTGATACCAAACTCGGTGCAATTTGATTAAAAATCACAAAAGTTGTAATAAATGTGGTAATAATCCGCCATTTTTGATAATAATTCGATTAAAATGACTGATATTTCGGTAAATAAGCGAGATAAAATCATCGAGTTTGTACTCTTTTTAAAGGAAATTGATTTTTGCTTCGATTAAAATCAATTTTATCATCATTCGAGTTTTTATTATTATTATTACCTTTTTCGATGATGTCTTAAAACAAAAAATTTTCGATTTATATTGAATAAATCGATTTTGTAACCAATTATTTGTGATTTTGAATTAATTTTAATCATTATTACTTAAATTATTATTTTTATTACCTTATTACCACATCACTTATTATCATTGAGAATATAAATTAATAAATTTTTATATTTTAATTAATTTGATACCAAACTTGGTGCAATTTTATTAAAAATCACAAAAGTTGTTATAAATGTGGTAATAATCCGCCATCTTTGATAATAACTCGATTAAAATAGTTATTATCTCGACAAACAAGCGAGATAAAACCGTCGAGTTTGGACTCTTTTTAAAGGTTCTTTAATTCTGATTCGATTGGAATCAATTTTATCATCATTCGAGTTTTTATTATTATTATTACCTTTCTCAATTATGTCTTAAAACAAAAAAAAATTCGATGTGTATCGAATAAATCGATTTTGTGACATATTATTTTCGATTTTGAATTAATTTTAATCGTTATTACCAAAATTATTATTTTTATTACCTTTTTACTATATCAATTATTATCATTGAGGATATAAATTAATAAGATTTTATATTTTAATTAATTTGATACCTAACTCAGCGCAATTTTATTAAAAAATATAAAAATTAAAAAATATGATAATAATCCGCCATTTTTGATAATAATTCGATTAAAATAATTAATATCTCGATAAATAAGCGAGATAAAACCATTGAGTTTGGACTCTTTTTAAAGCATATTCATTTTTGCTTCGATTAGAATCCATTTTATCATCATCCGAGGTTTTATTATTATTATTATTATCATTTTTGACAATGTTTCAAAATAAAAGAAATTCGATTTATATCGAATAAATCGATTTTGTGACACATTATTTTCAATTTTGAATTAATTTTAATCATTATTACCAAAATTACTATTTTTATTACCTTTTCACCCTATCACTTATTATCATTGATCACATAAATTAATGAAATTTTATATTTTAATTAATTTGATATCAAACTCGTAAAAGTTGTAATTAAAAGCGTGATAATAATCCGCCATCTTTGATAATAACTCGATTAAAATAGTTATTATCTCGATAAATAAGCGAGATAAAATCAACGAGTTTAGACTCTTTTTAAAGCATATTTATTTTTGCTTCGATTAGAATCAATTTTATCATCATCCGAGGTTTTATTATTATTATTATCATTTTTGACAATGTTTCAAAATGAAAGAAATTCGATTTATATCGAATAAATCGATTTTGTGACACATTATTTTCAATTTTGAATTAATTTTAATCATTATTACCAAAATTATTATTTTTATTACCTTTTCACCCTATCACTTATTATCATTGATCACATAAATTAATGAGATTTTATACTTTAATTAATTTGATATCAAACTCGTAATTAAAAACGTGATAATAATCCGCCATCTTTGATAATAACTCGATTAAAACAGTTATTATCTCGATAAATAAGCAAGATAAATCCGTCGAGTTTGGACTCTTTTTAAAGGAAATTCATTTCTGATTCGATTAGAATCAATTTTTTCATCATCCGAGGTTTTATTATCATTATTACCTTTTTCGACGATGTCTTAAAACAAAAAAATTTCGATTTATATCGAATAAATCGATTTTGTAACAAATTATTTTCGATTTTGAATTAATTTTAATCATTATTACCTAAATTATTATTTTTATTACCTTTTCACAACATCACTTATTATCATTGAAAACATAAATTAATAAGATCTTATACTTTAATTATTTTAATATCAAACTCGTAATTAAAAACGTGATAATAATCCGCCATCTTTGATAATAACTCGATTAAAATAGTTATTATCTCGATAAATAAGCGAGATAAATCCGTCGAGTTTGGACTCTTTTTAAAGGAAATTTATTTCTGATTCGATTAGAATCAATTTTATCATCATCCGAGGTTTTATTATCATTATTACCTTTTTCGACGATGTTTTAAAACAAAAAATTTTCGATTTATATCGAATAAATCGATTTTGTAACAAATTATTTTCGATTTTGAATTAATTTTAATCATTATTACCTAAATTATTATTTTTATTACCTTTTTACCACATCACTTACTATCATTGAAGACATAAATTAATAACATTTTATACTTTAATTATTTTGATATCAAACTCGTAATTAAAAACGTGATAATAATCCGCCATCTTTGATAATAACTCGATTAAAATAGTTATTATCTCGATAAATAAGCGAGATAAATCCGCCGAGTTTGGACTCTTTTTAAAGGAAATTCAATTCTGATTCGATTAGAATCAATTTTTTCATCATCCGAGGTTTTATTATTATTATTACCTTTATCGGTGATTTTTTAAAACAAAAAATTTTCGATTTATATCGAATAAATCGATTTTGTAACAAATTATTTTCGAATTATTATTACTTAAATTATTATTTTTATTACCTTTTCACCCTATCACTTATTATCATTGATAACATAAATTAATAAGATTTTATACTTTAATTATTTTGATATCAAACTCGTAATTAAAAATGTGATAATAATCCGCCATCTTTGATAATAACTCGATTATTATCTCGATAAATAAGCGAGATAAATCCGTCGAGTTTGGACTCTTTTTAAAGGAAATTCAATTCTGATTCGATTAGAATCAATTTTATCATCATCCGAGTTTTTATTATTATTCTTACCTTTTTCGGTGATGTCTCAAACTAAAAATGTTTCGATTTAAATCAAATTATTTATGATTTTGTATCTAATACAAGTAATACGCCACGATTTATTATAATTAAGTGTAAAATTTTTGGTTCTAGAAACCCCGAATATTACAAATATGTACATAAAGTGGTCCAAGGGCCCCTTAGAACCTTAAGTCCGCGTTTCGCGTCGTCCCAATTAGCACGGCCGGGGTTCGGGAACTTTGCGTCGGCGGAAACTGTTGATTTTCCCGACTAATTAAGCCGGATTAGCGGACTCGTTCGCTCCAACCGGCACCCAACCTCCCAATTATCGCGTTCCCGCCGCTTCTCTCGCCGTGTTTAATCTTGCCTAATGTTTGCTCTTTATCCCCACGGTTAGTACTACTCTCCTCCGCTTCCTTCTATTCCAAAGGGAATAAAGTTTTCGTATCGAAAAATTAAATAACCCAAAAAAGAATTCGAACCGTTTTTGTTAGTCGATTTAAGCCCCTTAATTTAACATCATATCGCGAAAACGAGATTACCGGCAAATCAAAAACGATTCATCGTTCAAAGCGAAGTTGTTGTCAATTTGAACGAACCCCAAAGGACAATTCGTTAATTGCCGGTGCGATGGGGACGTTATCGAAACGTTAATCGAAACGGGAGATTGAGAGCCGTCGGTGTGACGGCATTGTTGTTAATTCGCTCCGAGTTTAATCCCAACGGATTCGCAGATTTTCAAACACAACATTCATAAACTACGAATCAATCAATTCGAAAAGAAAAAAAATATCGTAATTAGATTTTTTATTAATTTTTTTTTGTTTCGTTGCTTCGCCTTTAGGCGGTCAATCAAATTAGGCAAATCGAATGGAGAAGAGGTTTCGGGGGGTGGGTTGGTTTAAATAATCTGGTTGAAAAAGTGGCCCGCGGGCCGCAAGATGAAAACGGGACGATCGTCCATGAATTTTAAACGGGGGCATCAACGAAATTAAAGCACACAGAGGGAGAGAGGCGCGCGTATTAATTTTTAATGGAAAGACTGCGGTTTCTGCCAATTATTGCAAGTAACCCCGTCATAAAGGGTTATCGCAAAAATTCGTTAAAATTTATCTATTCATTAAAAATTGCTGTTGACGTCTCTTATTATTACCCAT